GCTGTTTTTGCCACAAAGGACATGGGGACACTGCCATGGACAAGGGCACACAGGGCCCGTGGGGCACTGGAGGGGGCATCACCCACTTTGAGGGGACACGGGGACACCGTGGAGAGGACACATGGACAGTGGGACATGGCCTTGCCACTGCAGAGGGCACTGGCTGCTGTTTGGGACATGGGGACACACGGACAGGGGACAGATGGACAGTGGGACACTGCCCTGGCATCGGAGAGGGCACAGACAGCTCTTTGTGCCCTGTGGGGACACACGGACTGTGCCACAGGCAGCTCACACGGACAGAGCTGGGGACACAATGCCACACACGAGGGGACACAGTGTCCCCAAATCCCCCCCGTGTCCCCGTGTCACTGCAGTGCCCCCCAGGACCCCTGTGTTACCCTCAGGACCCCCCAATGCTTTCCAATGTCCCCGTATCACCCCCAATGTCCATGTCAGTGCCAGAACCCAGAGCTGTAAATATTGCGGGGAGGGGGGACACACACAAGAAGGTGGGATCCCCAGGGGGAGTGGTGACGTCGGGACCCCCTGTAGGGAAGGGGAGGGGGGGCCAGGACTATGAATAAAGTTGTGTTTGGGGGACCTGGGAGGTGTTTTTGGGGGGAGGAGGGGGCAAAAATGCCCCCATGGGGCCTGGTAAAACCCCAGGGGGAGGTAAAGAGTCCTTAAGAGGGGAGTTTTGGGAGGTTCAGGGGACGGAGGGGGCAGCAGGATTTTGGAGGAGGCAAATGGGGGACCCAAAACTGGGACAGGGCTGGGGGGGGACCCCAAACACAAGGAGGGGCTTCAAGGGGGCCCCAAAACCCAAGAGGGGAGTTGGGGGACCCCAAAACCAGGAGGGGAGGTTGGGGGAGTTCCAAAACCAAGGAGGGGGTTGGGAGAGCTGGGGGGTCCCATGAATAGGGGAGTCAAGGTGACCCCAAAACTAGGAAGGGGGTCAGGGAGGGTCACGAGAGCAGGAAGGGGAGTCCCAAAATATGAGGGGGGGAAGTGAGACCCTCAACCCGGGAAGGGGGTCCCCCAAATTGTGTGGGTGCAGGTGTGGCAGAGCCCCCCCCCCCCCCAGTAAAGGGGACACCCCTGTATCTCAAGACCTCCCCCAGCCCCATTCAAAAACCCTCCCAGGACCCCCCACTCCATCTCTCCTTTATTGGGGGTTGACAGCAAAAGCTGCTACAAAACAGGGGGCAGGGATTTGGGGGAGCTGGAGGGGCTGGGATTTGGGGGGGGCCACCTCCCAAGTCCCCCTGAGGATGAGAAGGATGAAGAGGGGGTTACGCTTTGGCCCCTGTCGGGGCCGTCGTGAGCTGCTGCAGCTTCTGTGTCATCATCTCCAGAACGGCTGGGGGAGACAGAGGGGTCAGGGGGGACCCCAAACGGGGGGAACCCCAAAACCCAAGGCGGGGGGACCGGGGACAGGGGGACCCCAAAGTTGAGGGGCAGATGTTGGGGGGTCATGGCACCCCAAACCCCAGGGGACCCCAAAACCAGGGGGGGTTGGGGGGAGTTGAGGTTCCCCCCAGCCCTGGGGGAGTCAGGGAGGCCATGGGGGGTCCCCCAAAGCCGGGGATCCCAGGGGAGTGCCCACCCTGTTTCATGGCGTGTTTCTCCTGCAGGGCCGGTTGGATTTTCTCCATTTGCCGCGTCAGGAACTCAATTTTCCGCTGGAAAAACGCCCGGGCGGCGTCCGCAGACTGGGAATGGGGGATGGGAATGGGGACAGTGGGATAATGGGAATGGGGGCAAGGGGAGGATAATGGGAATAATGGAGGGATAATGGGGATAATGGGAATGGGGGGATAGTGGGGAGGGGTAATGGGAATAATGGGTATAATGGGAATGGATAAATAATGGGAAGAAATAGTAGGAATGTGGGGAAATGGGCAAGGGGAATGAGGAGGGAAATGGAAGAAATACAAATGAGGAATGGGAATAATGGAAAGAGGATTAATGGGGATGGGGGAATAATGGGAATAGATCGGGGGAGAAGAGGGTGGGAATGGGAATGGGTGTGAGAATGAGCGGGGATGGGAATGGGGGAGGAATGGGATGAGAATGGAGGTGGGAAAGGGGGAAAAGGGGGGAGATGGGATGGGAAAGGGGGAAAAGGGGGGAAAAAAGAGGGAAAAAGGATGGGAAGGGGAAAAAAACAAGATGAGAGCAGGGCAAACACCCCCTCCCCCCCAGGTTCCTCTTGGCCACTCCTCCCCTCCAAGACCCCCCGGAACCCCCCAGACTCCTTCAGGGCCCCCTCCCAAGCCCCTCAAGAGCTCCCACCGTGCCATTCAGAGCCCCTAAAAGCCCACTCCAGCAAGAATCCCTCAAACCCTCCCCAAAACCCCCAAGCCCCCAGGGCCTCCCCCCACCTTCTCCACGTAGTACCCGGTGCCCACATCCACCAGGACCCTCCTGACGTCCGAGAGCTTCCCAGGCACGTACATCTGGGGGGGTCAGGGAAAAGGGGGCACAGAGGACAAGGCAGGTCTGGGGAGGTCTGAGGGGGTTCCAGGGAGGGGTTTGAGGGGTCTGTGGTGGGGCTCTGGGGGGGTTTGAGGGATCTTCACAGGGCCGGGGGGGGAGGGGAGTTGCGGGGGTCTGGGAGGCCTGAGAGGGTTTGTGGGAGTCAGGGAAAAGGGGGGTCCTGGTGGGGCACAGAGACACCCCCACCCAAAGGAGAGGGATCCAGGGGGGGTCAGGGAAAAGGGGAGTCCCAGAGAATAAAGGATGGGTCTGGAGGGCACAGGGGGGGGCTCTGGGGGGGCAGCAGAGCCTGGGGGGGCACAGAGACCCCTGGGGGGGGGCCAAAGGATACGGAGCTAGTGAGAGGCACCAGCAGGTCCTTCCCTGGGGAAAATGAAGGGGGATCAAGGGGGGGCTGGGAAGACCCCCTGAGATCCCCTACAGAGACTTAGGACACTCCAGAAGTCCCTCTGGGACCCTCGTGATCCCAAACAGTCCCTGGGACCCCCCTGAACCCCCCCAACACCTCCCTGGGCCCTCCAACATTGGGTCCCCTTTAGACCTCCCCAGGGCCACCCAGCAGCCCCCCAATGCCCCCAAGCTCCCTGTGCCTCCCCACAGCCCCCCGCCCCCGGACCCTGTGTACACCCCCAAGGGCCCCCTCTGAGGACCCCCGGATTGGGGTCCCCCTGACCCTCGTTGCCCTTGTTGAGCACGTTCAGACACTCCTTGGCCTCCACAAACTTGGTCTGGACCACTTTGAGCTGGGCCAGGGACGAGGAGAGGAACTCCACCTCCTGGGGGAGCACGGGAGGGCTTTAGGGGTCTGGGGAGGCTCAGGGGGTCCCCAGGGCTGGTGGGAGAGCAGAGAGGGCTCCCCCACAGCCCCACAGCCCCCAAGACCCCCCGATCCTAATGCTCCCCCTAACCCGTCCCAGACCTCCATAAGCCCCCAGGACCGCCACCTGCTCCAGCCGCCCCTTGCGCAGCCCCAGCTGGGACCCCCCAAAACCTCCAGAGCCCACTCTGATCCCCAAAGCCCCCTCAGCCCCCAGGATACCCCATAAATTCTTCCCAGACAGCCATAGCCCCCCAGGACCCCCCAACCCACTGCAGCTGCCCCTTGAGCAGCTCCAGCTGGGACCCCCAGACCCCACCGGTCCCCAGAGGCCCCCAGCCCCCCCCAGGACCCCCCAAACCTGGTCCACCGGGGGCAGCCCCATCTTACCCTCAGCCCCTGCCCCCCCGCCTCCGATCCCCACACCCTCCACAGCACCCCCAGGCTCCCTAGACCTGGTCCAGTTGGCCCTTGAGCAGCTCCAGCTGGGGCAGCCCCAGCTCCCCCACGCTCACGGTCTGCGCCATCTTGGGCCGCCCCGCCCCAGGACACGCCTTGGCGTGAGAGCGCCCCCTGTCGGGCTGGAGGGGTGTCCTAATGCTCCCCCCCGGAGAAAGGGGGGTGGTCTTAATGAGAGACCTGGGGGGACTCAGGGCATCTTGAGGGGGCCAGAGAAACTCGGGGGGGCCCAGTGAGAGTTGGGGGCTCAGAAACACTCAGAGGGGGGTGGGATAAAGAGGCAGCAGCTTTTATTTATTTTATTGTTGCAGAAACTCAAATAAAAACAATTTCATTAAAATAAATTAAAGCTTGCAAAACTCCCCAAAACAGGCAGGGGGACCCTAAAACAGAGACCCCCAAACAGACACAGACACCCCAAAAGGCCCCATTGGGGTAGGGGACCCCAAAATCCTCATCAAGGCAATGGAGGGGACCCCAAAGGTAACAAGGGGACCCCCAAACAATGGGGGGAACCCTCCAAACATCGCCACAGGGAGATGAGGAGCCTGTAGGTAAGGGGGGAACCTAAAACCAACTGGGGGACCTTCCAGCACACACCACAAGCAATGGGGGGGACCCCAAAGACCACGGGAGGGATGCCTCTCAGCTGAGGCTCACGGGGAGCCCGTAGGCCACAGGCGCAGCCCCGATGAGGGATTTGAGTCGGGGAGCCTGGCGGGCCTGGGCCAGGTGGGGCAGAAGAGGAGTCCCAGGCCCCCCCCTCAGCCAACCCTGCAGCAGTGCCTGGGCAAAGCGGTCCAGGTCCCGGTCAGTGACGTCCCACAATGTCCCCAGCACCAGGGGGCTGCAAAACAAGGGGGAGAGTCCCCCCAACACAGGCTGTGAGAATGGAGAGACCCCCAGAGTCAGAGACCCTCCAAATTCCCAAAGTCCCCCTCAAACTTAACATGCAGAGCTCCCTCAAAGCCCGAGAGCCCCCCAAAGCCACAGAGGCCCCCACAGCCACCACCCAGCCATGATGTATTTGAGAATGGTCCCCGTGGGTTCCAGGCCCCCCAGATCCCCCAACCTCCCCCCAAGCACCTCCCAGGCCCCCCAGAACTCACCACCCAGCCATGATGTATCTGAGCACGGTCCCAGTGGGCTCCAGGCCCCCCTTCAGGGCCATGGCGGCACTGGAGCAGCCGAAGAGCAGCACCACGGCCCGACATTCCAGCCGGGAAAGGGTCTGTCTGTCCAGGAGCCGCACCCCCGATCCGTGCCCCGCATAGCTGGGGGACACAGACCCCCAGAGTGAGCCCCAGGGGTCCCCAGAAGCCCGGAAATGGGAGACAGGGGTTCCCCAAAACCCAGGGAGGGGGGAAGAATGTGTTGTTGGGGTTCACCCCCTCAGCTCAGAACCAACTCCGAGCTCTGGGGTGGTCAGGACCCTCCAGGGACCACCTAGGGACTCCCCCAAAACCCCACTCACATGTACAAGTCATGCTCCAGAAGGGCCTCCTGGATCTGCTCTGGGGTCGGGATAGAGCCAGATACACCGTGCCAGCCGGGCTCACTGTGGGGGACGGGGGAATTAGGGGGGCAGAGCTACCCCAGAGGGAACAGGGGCAGGATTTTGGGGTGTAGACACCCCCCAGGGGGATAGGAGCAGGATTCGGAGTGTATACCCCTTGATAGGGGGGATAGGGACAGGATTTGGGTTGCAGCCTCCCCAGCGGTGCCCTTACCTCTCAAACCAGGCCCGGAAGCGTTGCTCGGTGCCCCCCAGGTTGTTATGGGGGTTTAGGACATAGAAGGTGCTTTTGGGGTTCACCCCTCGGGCCAGGACAGACCCTGAGCTCTGGAGGGGAGAGGAAATGGGGAAATAAACCCTGGGAATGGGGGACAGAGACACTCCAAACCCCAGGAAGGGGGGATGGAGGGTCCCCAAACCCTGGGAATGGGGTTCAGGGGGTCAGTCCCCCCACCACCCAGGGAGGGGGTCCCAGGAGTCTGTGCCCCCCTGACCTGCTGGGCCATCACATAGCTGAGTAGAAACCGCAAGGCCGGGAGGCGCGTCACCGGCACGGCCCCGAGGGCCGGGAGGGACTCCCAGGGGAGACGCTGCAGGTGCTGCCAGGGAGGAAGAGAAGCGTGAGGAAGACGAGAGGATGAGAAAGGAGCCCTGGTGGGGTCTCACCTTGTCCAGCAGCAGTAACAGGGACCCCCTAGAGTCCCCCAGCCCATCTCCAGGGCCTCCTCCTGGAGCAGGTGAGGAGAAGGAAGAGGAAGGTGTGAGGATAAGGATAAAGTGTAAGGATGAGGAAGGAGTGAGGATGATGAGGATGAAGCAGCAGCCCCAGGGGTCTCACCTTGTCCAGCAGCAGCACCAGGGACCCCACCCTGTCCCCCTGGCCCCTCTCCAGGGCCCCTTCCAGGGCCTCCTCCAGAATCAGCCGTGCCCGGAGGGGCCGGGCCGGGCAGAGGCCAAAGGCCAAGGCCTGGACATCGGGGGGGGTCAGTGCAGGGGCCCCGTTCAGCAGCACCTGGGGGGAAAAGGGGTCAGCACCCCAAAATCTGGGGTCAGTATCCCAAAATCAGGGGGTCTGCACCCCAAAATTTGGAGTCAGCACCCAAAATCCCAGCTCAGCCCCTCCAAATCCTGGGCTCAGCCCCCCCAGTCACAGGATCACTCCCACCAAATCCCAGCCCAGCTCCCCCACCTGGACGAGGGTGGGGTTAGGCTCATTCCAGCCACAGCTCCGCAGCTCTGGGATGAGCCGGGAGGATTCCTCTGCCAAGCTGGGGGAGCTTCTGGGGGACCTGGGCAGGAGCAGCCCCCGCCAACACCCCAAAACATGGGACTCCAGGCTCTGGATGAGGGTCTGGAAATAAGAAAAACAGAAAAAAGTGGATGGAAGGCATGGGGAAGGAAATGGGAGATGGGGAAAAGAGAGTGGAAGATGTGGAAAAGGGGAGAGGCAGGAATAGGAAGGGGAGAGGTGGAATGGGACACATGGGAATGGCAGACATGTAAAAGAGAAAGGGAGACACAGAAAAGGGGATAGGGAGAGGTGCAAAAGGTAACAGGATCCAGCTTCAGGATGAGTCACTCAGAGGGGTCAGGACCCCCCCATACCAAATTTGGGGAGTTGGGGGGGGGGGTGGTCTCCCCCACCTTCATCCTCTGATCCAGCCGGGAACGCCGTGACCACCACTCCTGTTTGTCTGTGCATCCATTGGCTTCCTTCTGCTCACACTGGATCAACTCAAATTCCCTCAGGATCGAACTGAGGGGGGCCTGGAGGGGGAGGCATCAAGGATCTGGTAATGGTGGGGGGATACCCTAAAGGGATCCCACCCCCTGGAATGGTGGGTGGCTCCCCAAAGAGATTCTGGAGTTGTGGGGGACCACACAAAGGGATCCTGGAATGGGGAGTGCCCCCTCCCCTGGTGAAGATGATCTGGTCCATGATCCCAGCCCCTGGAATGCCCCCCCTGCCCTCACCTGGGACCTGTGGGTGGGGATCCGGATGATCAGGGGCTCCATGTCCCTCTCCAGCCGGGTCAGGAGCAGAGTGTCCCCAAGGGCCCCCGGGCAGGGGCTGCCCAGGGCCAGCAGGACCACGGTCACCCCTAGGGGTACACAAGCTCAGGAACCCTCCGGGCATCAGAGACCCTCCAAAACATCACAGACCCCCCCAGGGCACCTTTTCCTTCTGCAGCCACTTTCCCTTGTTCTCCAGCCCCTCCTTATCCTGCACAGAGGACACCCAAGCCCCATCCAGGGTTCAGGATCCCTCTCCCCACTGCTGAGCGTTGGTCCCAGTGGCCCCTGTGGACTCACCACTGGGGATCTGCTGGATCTGCTCCTGGAATTGTTCCCTCTCTGGAGCCCCCAGCCCCGAGGAGCTGAACTGGAAGAGCTCCTCGAGCTGGGCCAGGCGGGGGCAGGGCTGGGGGGGGTCCCCCCCTTCCTGCAGGGAAAGGCCCTGAAGCTGCTCTGACACGTCCCCCGCCAACTTCTCTTTCTTCCTCTTCTTCCTGAGGGGCAGGATCATCCAAAAAGTGAAGTGGGATTGTCCCAAAGGTGAGGAGATCATCCCAAAAGTGAAGGGGATCATCCTAAAATGACCTCTGGGGGGTGAGGGGGGTATGGGGTGAGACCCTGCCCTAGGACATGGGGGACGGTGGGGAAGAGAGGGAACACTGGGATGGGGCGATGGGATGGGACTCAAAGCCCTGGGGATGAAGCAAGAGGACATGGGGAGGGGACACCCACCTTGCCCGGCTGTGCAGGATGCTCAGCAGCTGGTGGCGGGCGGTGACACACAGGGATTCCGAGAGCAGCCCCGCTGTGCCCAGGGGGTCCCTGTCCCCCATGAGCAGAGCCAGCAGCTGACACAGCCCCCCGTACAGGGACCCCGGAGGGAAGTGGCTGATCCAGCCCAGGGCCTCCTGCAGCAGCCCCAGGACTGAGTCCAGGGATGGGGGACCTGGAGGGGGAAAGAGAGGGGACACCACGGACAGGGGTCAGGGACATCCCAGAGACACAGAGAGTGGGGTCAGGAACCTCAGGGAGAGGTTAGGGACACCCAAGAGAAGGGTCAGTGAAACCCCAAGGACACTCGAGAGTGGGATCAGACATCATGGGGAGAGCAGAGAGGGGAGAGGACAGAGGGGGGAACCCACCATAGCCTCAGCCTCCAACTCTAAGAAAGGCAAGTTTTGGGAAAGTCAAGTTTTGAGGGAGGAAAGGCAAGTTGGGGGGGGAAGGAAACTCCTGAAGAAGGGAATTCTTAGGAAAGGGAAATAAATGAAGCTGGAAATCAATAAATGCCCAGCAAGACCTTTTCCCCCTTAAATACCCCCAAATTCCATGTTCTCACCTCCAGCCATGGGCAGAGGTCCCCCAAAACCTGGCAGGAGGTCCCCCCTGCCTAGGACATCCACACCGGCCTTGACCTCCCCCTTGGGCTGGACCCTCCCTGTGGGGTGAGGGGGACACAGAGGGGCTTCAACCCCAGGCTGAGGACAAATCTGCAGACAGAACCTCCCCAAATCGGCCCCAAAACTCACCTGGGGGTCCCTCCCACTCCTGGGAGACCTGCAGGGCTTCAAAGCTGTGCCGTAGCTCTTCCTCCTCCTCTTCCTCCACGGCCCTCAGGGGGTTCAGCCCCCCCAGCACCCCCTGGGAGGGAGGTCCCTGCTTTGTTTTCTCCTCCAGAGCCCCTTTTTGGGGGGTCTCCTGCTCCTTCTTCCTCCTGGTACCCCCAGCCCGGCAGGTTCCCCTTTTCTTCTCCAGAGCCACATTTTGGGGGGTCTCCTGTTCCTTCTTCCTCCTGGAACTCCCAGTCCAGCATGTCCCCCTTTCCTTCTTCTCCTGAGCTGCTTTTTGGGGGTTTCCCTGGCCCTTCCTGGGCCTCCCCCGCTGTGGTCTGACCCCCATTCCTGGGGGGCTCATTTGGGGGGACCCTGCGGACTTGGGAGGCTGCCCCTTCCTGCGGGCACAGGATGTTTTTCGGGTGGTTGAGGGACTGTGGGGGGCTTTGGGATCCTCCAGATCGCTGTCATCACTGAACATCACCTGAAAGGGGGGGAACAGGGGGGTCAGGGGTGTTTTGGAGGGCACCTCAAACTTTCCCCATCAGCTTTCCCCCCATTTTTCCCCTCCAGCCTTACCCCCTCTCTTTGCCTCCCAAAGTTTTGCCCCCAAAACATTTTCC